ACAGCCTGACCCCTTGACAACACCCCCCACACCCCTGTGTGAACAGGTGGAGTGGCTGAAGCCTGGGGAGGGGGAGGGGCTTCCAGGTACCTGGAGCGGGGTGAAGGCCACACTGGAGGCGGTCCCCGAGGAGCGATCACGGATGGTGGACTTCCCGCCATACACCACACTCTGCTTCTGCAGGGTCCGCTGGGGAGGGGAGGGGAGGTCCCGGCTGTGACCTGGGCTCTCCCACCAGGGTCCGCCTCATTCTTCCCACCTGGGCCCAGCCATACCTGCAGCGTCTTGGAGATCCTGGCTTTAGTGGCCTCATTCACCTGCGTCTGCCGCACACGCCCACTGCCCGACTTGCCCAGGTGGCCCAGGCTGAAGCCCAGGTCCTCCTGGTAGGCGTCCTCCTCTATCTGAGGGAGGGGGAGGCATCCTAGAGTTAGTCACCCCTGGATGGGCTAGAAGCCCAGGCGTCTGCCTGACCAGCCAGTCCTGCAGGCTCCTGTTCAGGCACCTACTGGGCCCCTAATGCGATGAGCCTTGATGAGGCCCCAGGTGATAGTGAGGAGCTGGGTCCTCTTACTGTTCCCTAAGCTGACAGGTGGGAGGGGCCGCGTGCACATGCGTGCTTATGTGCGTGGGTCTTCGTGTGCGCGTATGTATGAGTGCGCGTTGTTCTTGTGGGACCAGGAGGGTGCTTGGACCATGAGACTGGCGGTGGGAGGCCTGGGGAAGGGCATGTAAGGCAGGGCCTGGGGAAGGGAGCAGGGAGGAGCAAGCTGGGGAGGCCTGTAGTGCCCACACCAGGAGCCTGAGTTGAAGGGGGCGTCGCGGTGAGGGGGCAGGCACTGAGGTTTGGGTAGACCCCTTTGGGGCTGGGTAGATGAGGAGGGGAGGACCTAGGGCCTGGGAAACAGGGAGGAGGCTGGGGTGGTGCCCCAGATCTGAGGGGGGCCGGGGACACAGACAGGGCAGAATGGGGCAGGGGCAGGGACAGGGCAGGGTGGGCAGGGGCCCACCTCTCCGAAGCTCATGCGGTTGGCCTGCTTCCGGATCTCCGTCAGCCCCAGCCGCTCCTTCATCTTTCGGTACCTGAGGACAGGGCACAGGAAGTCAGCTGGGACGCTGGGAGCCTCCTCCCTTCCTGCCCTGCCCAGCCATCCACCACTGCCCACCTGCGGCCACCTCGCTTCTTGCGCTGCCCATCCAGAGGCGCAGGCAGCGGCTTCACCTGCTTCACAGGGGGTGGCTCCTGCCATTTGTCAAACTTCCGCTCGATCTCATCCTTCAGCTCGTAGCCCACCTGAGAGAGGGGGTATGGGGAGGGGCTGCAGCTGCCTGTCCCGGGCTCACCCTGTATCTGGGCCAAGAATCTCAGCCACTATTGGCTCTAGCATTAAGTTCCACCCACGGCCAGTGACCCCCAGACTGTCCTCTGAACACTGAGCCCACAGACAACTGTGGATACAATAGCCTGAGAACGCCTGCCTGCCCCACCTCCCACCTTCACTCTCCGCAGGGGAGACGCCCAGAAGTCGGTCGGCCTCCATTCCATTTCTCTCTCACCCCATAAGTCCCATAGGGCTCTTCTTAAGGAAAGACCCCAAATCGGCCTCTTCTCAGCACGTCTGCTGAGGCCGAGCTCCCCCGAGATACACAGCCCATGGTCTGCCCAGCCTACCAGCCTCCTCTCCCAGGCTGGCTATACGCCAGCCTCAGGGCCTTTGCACTGACTGCTGTCCCCCAAGATGCATGAGATTCGCTTGCTAACTTCATTCAGGTCTCTGTGAAACCCTCACCTCCCTGAGGCTAATATCCGTGGCCACACCACAGACTTACTTGCTGTCCCCTACCCTGCCCCAATTACAATTTGAGTAAGTCCAAGGCAGGGCTTTTGTCTGTGCTACTACTCTGCACCCCAGCCTCCAGACCAGTGGGGGAGAGACAGAGAGAGAGGACAAACAACTGAAACCCTGAACACCACCAGGCTGGGTGCTTAAACAACACTGCACAGGACAGAAATGTCTCTCCATTCTCAGAACAAGTCTGCCTAGAAGACGGGCTCGCTGAATAATTACTGCATCATAACAGTGTGCTGGTGGGGGAACAGACTCCAGCACAGCAGGCAAAAAATGCCTCCCTACCCCCCCCAAGGGGTTCACATCTGAATCTCTGGTCTTGTGAATATGTCACCCATGACAAAAGGGACTTTGCAGATATGGCCAGGTTAAGGTCTTGAGATGGGGAAGGTACAGGCCCAATGTCGTCACCAGGTGCTTAGGCAGAGATGTAAAGACAGGGGCAGAGGCAGGGGTAGGAGATGCTACACTGTGGAGGGAGGGCCATGAGCCAGGGCACCCAGGCGCCTCTAGAAGCAGGAGAGGGCAAAGGGACCAACCTCCCCTGGAGCCCCCAGAAGGAAGGAGCTCTGCCAACACCCTGATTTTAACCCAGTAAAACCCGTTTTGGACTCTGACCTACAGGACTGTAAGATATTAAACCTATATTGCATTAGCCACTGTGTTTGTGGTCATTTGTTAAGAGCAGCAGTGACAGGAAAAAGACACACTGGGGGGAAGGGGACAGTGACCTTGGTGGGGCCACAGATAGACACGCCTGACTGCTAGGACAATCGGTTTTTCTGGACAGACCACAGACCCACACGCACAAACACTGGCCCGACCCTCACCTTCCCCTCCGTGCTTTCGTGGAAACTGTCCACGCGGGCTGCCAGCGTGCACTTGGCGGCCACTAGGCGGGCCGCCTTCCGCCGCAGATCCTGGAAGAACAGAAACAGGCTGAGTCAAGGTGAGGAGTCAATGAGACTACTGGGCTCCCAAAATGCTAGCGCCACGGTCCGACTCCTGCCTGTCATTTCACCCTATGTCGTGTGTTACTGTGACAATGTGTTATGATAACAAAGTATCGCCGTCAATGTTGGTCTTTCAAACTATTTTTTAAAAACTTAGTCTGGTTTGCATAGACAACTGTACTGCTACAGATAGAAAATTGTCAAATACCAAAGAATAAGTTTGTTATGATTAAAACAGGAAATATGTGGGGTTATTACTGAGAATAGTGTTCTGTGCCATGAAAGAAAAGGTGGCCTGTGTTTTGGGAAATCCCAATATACCACATGTAAAACCTGTTGCCACAGGTCTTGACCAGTAATAGTTATAAAAATAACAAAGTCGGCAGCAGCTCCCTGCAGTGAAGAACTAGCCTACCCCTAAGGGGTCTGGTCCCGGCCAGACAGGATCCTTGTGATTGAGGGTGAGGTCTTTGGGTTACGGTGCATGGGTCAACCTGGAGATGGGGGTCAGTTACCCTGCGTAACTGAGTCCCAGTAAAGAATGTGAGCACCGCGGCCTGGCTGGGCAGTGATCTCTGTGCGCCCACTGTCACACACCACAGTGTGTACTCCTGGACCCTGCCCCTCGCTCTTCCTCCCTTGGCTGACATTACTGTCCCCTACTGTGGTAAACTGTGACCCCGAGGGGGTCAGCTCTCGCCAGTTCCGCGAGTCTTCCTCATGGGTCACCGAGCCTGAGGGTGGTGTTGGGAACCCCCCGAACTCGAAAGGTAGGGCTTGTCACTTGTCAGGTGCAAGGCCTAGCCAGGATGAGTCTGCATCATGACCATGAAGCAGGCTCTGTTCTCCCCACTTTACAAATGGAAAGACTGAGGCACAGAGCTCAGGCCTCTTACCCGAGGCCACCTAACTGGCAAGTGGCACTGCCAGAATCCCAACCCCAGCGCATCTGCTCCAGCATCCCTGTTCTCACACCCCGTGCCACTCTGTCCCCCAGGGTTCCCACCACTGTCGCCAGCTGATGGGAGCATGCTCAGGCTGACAGGGCCCTCCCCTTCAGGCACAGCAGGGGCTCACCGGGGGTAGGGACTGCACAATGTCGCTGTGGTAGATGTAGCCAGTGTGGGGCAGCACGGAGGTGGAGGAGAAGCCGGACAGCGTTTTGCGCTGGGCCCCCAGCAGCATGATGTTGCAGGCGGGCATCTTGGAGAGGTTGGTCAGGCCACCAGCCACCCCTGCAGCAGGCCGGGGAGGGAGGAGGTGAGATGCAGCAGGCGCATTTGTCTGGGAGCTCACCTGTGTGCTAAGCCTTTACTGAATTTCTGGTTGGATCCCATGGTGGACCCACCAGGGAGGGCCTGTCTCATTTCAGAGGGGGAATGTGAGGGAAGCTCAGAGAGGTGAAGCAACCTGCCTGAGGGTGCACAGCGAACAAGTGGACCACAGGAACCTGAACTGAGTCTGCAAAGCTGCACAGCTCGCCCTGGGGCCGACCACAGGGCCCAGTATGCAGCGCCAGGCATTCCCTGAGCTGGTTTCCAGGCACAGAGAGAGGAAGAGGGCTGTAGGTGGGGAAATAGCTCTACCTCTGATGGGGCCTGCTGTGAGCCAGGCTGGTGCTGAGTGTCTTTAAGGACTAGAGAAACTGTGTCATCAACCAACTGAATCCTTAAAATGAGCCTCCAACACAGTGTGCCAGCCCAAGAGGGAGCAAAACAGCCTCCAGAGATGCACATCACAATCTCCAGACCCCATGGCCATGGCGCCTGTGGTGGCCAGAGGGGCTCTGCTGACAAGGAGCTCGAGATGGGGTGATTCTCCTGGAGGACCCCAGCTCAATGGAACCAGAAAAGGCTCTTAAAAGTGGGAGAGAAAGGCAGTGCCAGAGTCAGAGATGTGAAAGCAGACTAAACAGGAGGAAGGGACACAAGCCAAGGGACATGGGTGCCTCAAGAAGTCAAAAAAGGCCAGGAAGCAGGTCCTCCTGGGCCCTCCATGAAGCAATGTCCAGAATCATGAGGTGATAGACGGGTGTTTAAAGAGCTCAATTTGTGGTCCTCTGTTGCAGCAGCCACAGGAAAGCAGCACACCCCCAATCACCACAGGGGAAACGGGGGCACGTGAGGTCACCTGCCCAAGAATGCGAGGTCAGTGAGGGGGAGAACCCACACCCAGTGTATCCTGCCTAAAAACCACTGCTTCCTTCAACCTGCGACTCCGCACACACCTGCCTCCAAGGAGGCTGCGAGGGGCCCAAGCGTGGCCCCCAAACTTCATGTGTCTGTGTCCTCACCCCACCCCTGTACTCAGGATGGGGCCATATCTGGAGGTGGGACCTTTAAAGAGGTGACTAAGGTGATGTGACATCATAGGACTGGCCCTAATTCAATCTGACTGGTGCCCTTATAAGAAGAGATTGGGACACGGACACACAGAGGGACGGCCGTGTGAGGACACGGGGCAGACGGCCACCTACATCCTCAGGAGGAAGCAGCCCTGCCCACGCCTGGATCTTGGGCTCCGGACTCCAGCCTCCAGGACTGGGAGACAATCAATCTCGGTTGTAGAAGCCTTTGGACGGCAGCCCAGGCGGGCGAACACAGCTGCGTTACCCAACTTTCCTGAGAGTGTTTCTCATTAAAGGGGCCAGGAGTCCAGTGGAGCGGGACCCCCCTGGAGTGCAGACACCCTGCCAGGACCAGTGTCCCCCATCTAACAGAGGACACCAGGGCCCCTCCCGGCCCCGGGGCTCACCCATGATCTTGGCGGCTGTGGATGCCCCGATGATGATGGAGAGGTTGGGCGCAATGAAGGACATGCGGGACTCCACGTACTCGTAAATGCGGTGTTTGGAGGCGCTCAGCTCCAGCGCCATGTCGCAGGCCTCCTCCAGCCGCTCCAGCTCCTCCTCTGACAGCTGCTGCCTGCAGGGAAGGGGGGATGATGACCTGGCTGGGATGAACAGCCCCTCCTGAGATTCCTGCCTGACTGCTATGGGAGCTTCTGTCCCCCGAGCTGTGTATGCAAGTGTGTGCAGCCTCAGGACAATCTCCCCTCCGCAGTGGCAAGCTAGGGGCCTGCTTATTCTTCCCCAACTCCCCCTCTCCCCCGCTAGAGAGCTCGGTCCCTGCCTGAGGCTGAGTCACCACCGCCTCCAGGGAGCCACCAGACCCAGTCCTGGTAAGCACCCTTCCTCTGTGCTTGACACTCGCCCTTTGGCCTTTGACCTGTGCATGAACATTCTTCCTCCCAGACAGGAGCTCTGAGAGGGCTAAGTTGTGTAACTCCATCCAGGAATCTGCCAGCCTTTGTTGGATGAACAGGATGACAGCCCTCGGGAGGTCTCTACCTCACATGACTCTGCTGGGGGTTATGGCTTAAAGACAGCTCCTTCTCTTAGGCACAACTCAGATGCCAGTGAGGGAGCTCAGCTTGGTGCCTGGCTGGCAGGTGCCACTCGTTAAACACATGTGGACTTGAAATGAACTGTCCTCCTGAGACTGACACCTGTGCCACTGGTACCCTGCTGTGTACGCACCCCTGGGTGGTGGAGGCAGTCACGCTGACGACCATGATGGTGGCATTGGTCAGGATCTGCTGTAGGTTCTCGTTGTTCTTGCACTTGTCCAGGCTGTTGCCCAGCTCCTGGGGGTGAGGAGGCAATGGAGAGATGGCAGAGGCTTGGGAAGGATCCAACCCTATGGCTCCTGCACCTGCTCTGATCTCTTCTGGGGATGCTAGGACAGTTGGGATCTGTGTGCAGGGTGTTTCTCCTGCCCCTACCAGTTCCAAGAATGTCAGTGCTCAAAGCGTCAGCATTGTCTGCCCTGTGCTGGCTGATCTGGAAACCAACCAGAGCAACTGGCCACTCAGGGAGGACCTGCTGCTCAGTCAACTCAGAGCACAAATCTGACCCATCGCTTCCCTGCATGGATGTCCCTAGCCGACACCCTCGGCTAGTGGACACACATGGGAGTGTCCCTGCCTTCACTTGCACCTAACCCTCCCGGGGCTTAAAGGTCAGACGTGATCCGACCTCATCAATTCTGCCTCCCCAATTCCACTTTCTTGTTCCCTGAACCCACCAGGGCTCATTACCTCTCAGGGTCTAGACACTAACACTTCCTCCAATCTCTGCAGGGCTGCCCCTTGTCAGATCTGGACACCACCTGCTCCGTCCAGCACAGCGGGAGTGGGGCACCCCTTCATCTCTCTCCCCTCCTCTCTGGGCCTCACTCCTGCCCCTCGGGATAACCCTCTCAGGAGGGCTGGGAATGGAGTGTGGGGCAGAGGAGCCATGAGAATGTCTTTTCCAGGCTCCACCCATCAAGCACTGGGCAGCTGGCAGCAGCTAAGGCCTCCAACATCACTCATTGCAGCTTGGTCCCCTGCATCCTGCAACGCTGAGCGAGGGAAGCCTTTCCCCACCCAGGGTCTGAGGGCGGGGCCCAACCTCCCTTCACACCGGAAGCTGTAGAGAAGCCTCAGTTCTCCCCAAGCCCCACACCCTCCCTCACCTTGACTGTGCGGATGTAGTCCAGCGCATTGGGGACCAGTGACTCCAGCTCAGGGAACCGCTTCGAGTACTTATCCCGGATGAACTTATGGATGATGTCTGAGGTGGGCAGGGACGGGGGACATCTGGTGAGGGGACAGGCAGACTCGGCTGGCTGTCTCCCACATCCGTTTCCCCTTGTTCCTTTAGTAGGTGCACCCCTGAGCTTCAGCTGGGCGCTAGGGCACCCAGAATAAAGGCCATGTTTCCTGGCTCCCTCACTGCTGGAGAAGCCAAAATGAGTTAGTTCTGGTCTATGAGGGATGTGTGCAACTTCCAGTCAACCTTTAAAGAAAAGAGCTGTGTTCTCTTCTCTCCCCTGTTCTGCTGGTGGGGATGTGGAGGAGATGGCTGAAAGTGGGCAGTCACCTTGTACCATGAAACAGGCAGCAGATTAACAAGATAAAAAGAGCCTGGGCACCAGCCTAGACTGCTCACTGGGACGTTCACACAAGAGGAAAATGCACTTCCTTCTAATTTAAGCCACTGTCACCACAACAGAACCTGGATTCTAGCTGAAAGGAGGGGCTCGGGGAAAGGTCAGCCTGAGATCCTGCCTGCCCCTCCCTCAAGGACACCAGGCAGGACTGTCTCTCTTTGCCCCTCCCACACTCACTCAGCTCGTTCTCAATCTCCACGGTCAGGTTGTTGGCGTCCACGATGACCCGGTATTCGGGGGCTGCCTCCACTGGTCCCATCACTGTGAGGGTGAGAAACAGCCTGGTGGGTACCCGTGTCCAAGGCTCTGCACACACAGCTCTCTTTCCCTGGATCCCCCCCAGCTATGGACCTGGCATGTACATTCTTGCTTCAACATCCAATTCAGGTATTAGTTCTTCCCTGATCCCTGAGGCTGGTCAGCTGGCGCTTCTGTGGCTCCACAGTGTCCCCAGCTCCCTCCCTCCCAGCAGGCACTGCCCACCAATAGCTGTCTGGGACCTGGCTTGTCTGATCTCAGCTAAGTCCCCTGGGTTCCCAGCACCCACACAACTGGCCACAGAAAGGAAAGAATGAATCTCCCTGAAACTCTGCTCTGACCACACCACCCCTGTGCCCGACAACCTCCCGTGGTTTCGAGGCCACCAAATTCCAGAGAGCCCCCCCTGATGAGAAGAATTGGATATAACAGGATTGCCCTCTGAGAGCTGGTCTGGACAGTCAGGAGATAACCCAGCACTCCCCAAAGCTGGGATTGAGAGGAGGTTTTAGGCGATGCTTTAGTGACCACACATGTTTACAGTTACTCCCTGTTTATCAAATTATACCAGTTTCCTACTCACAGTAGCATAACTTTCCTTCTAAGAGAAATTTAATGAAAAATATGTTGATTTAAAGAAAACGTGGAATGGGGGTTGGAGCCTGGGTGAAAAAGGTGAAGAGATTGAGAAGTGGACATTGGCAGTTACAAAACAGTCATGGGGATGCAAAGTATAGCACAGGGAATATAGTCAGTAATACTGTGATAACTATGTATGGGGCCAGGTGGGGACTAGCTTTATCAGGGTGACCACCTCATAAGTTGCATAAATATCTAACCACTATGCTGTACACCTGAAACTAATATAATATTGTGTGTAAACTGTAATTGAAACGTAAAAATAAAGTTGGACACTAAAAAAACAAACAAAAAGGAAATGTGAAGTAAACAAGACAAGTGGCAAAACCCCTGTAACTGAGCATGAGACCCACTTAGGAACCTTGACAGAAGTCGTAGGCGACTGGTGAGTGCTCAGCATGGAGCAAAAACTTTAGGAGTGTCTGCTGTAAAATGCACTACCTTTCTGGGAGAGAAGGGGACTGGGTTGGGATGGAGAAAGAGAGGGCTCTGGAAAAGGCCAAGAGGGAGGTGGACCCAAGTTTCAAAGCCACAAGCAGCCAAAGAGGCCCAGGGGCCTGGCGGGAGAGCAGGCAGGTGGATGAGGCTGAGCGCGGAGAGAAGGTACCTTCCGAAGCTTTGGCTTGCTTGCTGATATACTCCTCAATCTTCATCATGATCTCAGCAAACTGTGGAGGGGAAGAGTCAGAACCCAGGACAGGTGGAGAGGAGCCCCGGCTACCTCACCCCTCCGGAGCGTCCACCTGCTGCCCACTCACCATCTTGCTGTCCCACAGCTTGGCGATGCTCTTGACCGAATCCCCAGAAAGATCCAGCTGTGTCTCCTCCTGCACATCCTCGATCGCCGGCTCCTCTTCCTCCTCCCCATAACTTCCTCCTTCCTCCTCTTCCGCCGCCTCCTCGAGGTCGGCCAGGAGCTCGTCTGCCAGAGACATCCCGAGGCCTATTGGGGGGGAGAGCAGGGTTCCTCCTCATTACCCAGAGGGGCTTCCCCCCCTCCCCCGAGAAGGCCCTGGTCCGTCCGCATCAACCTCACTAGCACGCAGGCTCCACAAGGACAGGCATTTTCATTTGTGCTGTTCTCCAGCTCCTAACTGTGCCTGGCACACATTAGGTGCTCAGTAAACACCTATTGAATTAATCCATGAACAAACCTCGAGAACCCAGATAATCTCCAGCCATAACTCACAGACCTACCCACGTCACTGACAAGACACAGCACGCCCCGCATGCCATCACCTCGCTAAAGCTTAAAAGATACATCCTCCCTACGATGAGATGCAACCTCCTTTTTTCTTCTATAACAGAGCCTCCCTCCAACTGTTGGGCCCCGAAAGAGTGACAGATTTCCTAAAATACTGATCTGTTCAGCCATCAGGGCAATCAGACAGGCCTCATGTCTAGAGTTCCCAGGCTGACTACCACTGGCCACAGGCAGCCTCCTCAACTACCCCAGGCAGTGTAGAAATATTAGTCTTTTCTGTGAGTCCCATGAAGAGGAAAAGTTTGGGAAGCACTACTTGCTCTACAAGGTACAATCCCCACCACTGTCCTCCCCCACTGCTTTTTTAAAAATAAGCAGTCTTTCCCTCTTCCTGTTCCTTTCCTCGCTCCATGAATCCATTCCCCTACCTCATTCCCTCCCGCTCTGCACCACCCTCCTCTAACCTATGAAAACACAGGCTGCACACTCCAATGCTCAGAGGCTAAGTGGGTGACTAGTGAGTGGGGCAGCCTGGGGATAGGGCAATAGGGAGGAGTGGAGACTGGAGAACCAAAGAACTCAGTGTACAGGCACAGCTAATGCTCGGCTTTGGACACACCTTGCCAGTGGGAACATGGGCTCCACATTGCCAGGTTTTTGTAACAAAAGAAAAATTTTTTTTTATTAATCCTCACCTGAGAATATTTTTTCCATTGATTTTTAGAGAGAGTGGAAGGAAGGGAGGGAGGGAGGAGGAACCGATAGAATAGGATCCATGTGAGAGAGACACATCAATTGGCTGCCTCCTGCATGCACCCCCACGACCAGGGACAGGGATGGAACCTGCAACCCAGGTATGTGCCCTTGACTAGGAATTGAACCCGTAACCCTTTGGTGAGCAGGCTAACGCTCTAACCACTGAGTGACACTGGCCAGGGCAGGTTTTCTCTTTTTTTTTTCAAGAGAAGCAAGAAATTCAGAATTTTTATGTGGAATGTCCCAGTTTAAAATGTTTCTTTATTATTTAAATAGATAATTTAGATTAAAACACACAAAAAAACAAAAAAACACCACCACGGCATAGGCCACACCATAGGTGAAAACAGGGCAGATGTGGCCCTTGAGCTGCCAGTTTAAGACCCCAGGATGTCCAGTTGTCTCTGTGAGAAGTCTCCCCTCATAGCCTCCTCTCTCCCTGACATACGATGTTCCCTTTATACTCACTTCTCTTTATAAGACACACGTTTTCCTCCTAAACGCCCCTTTAGAATCTCACACACGCCTTTCTCCAAAATTGCCCTCGCCCACTTTCTGTAAGAGGAACTCTTCCTATCTTTATTGAACACAACCCCCACATTATGGTCTCTTTTCCCCAGGTTTCTATATTTATTTTTAATATATTTTTATTGACTTCTTTTTTAGAGAGAGAGGAAGGGAGAGGGTGGGCGAAAGAGAAACATGGATGTGAGAGCAGAACATCGATAGGCTTCCTCCTGCACGCCCCCTACTGGGGATGGAGCCTGCACCCCCGCCCCCCATATGCCCTGACCGGGAATGGAACTGGCAACCATTTGGTGCATGAGACGTCACTCAACCGCTGGGCCACACCGGCCAGAGCCAATATATTAATTTTTCGCTCCTCTGGTAGAGACATAAACATTATGTCTTGCGGCGTGGGTCTTTTGTGACCCCAGACTAGATCCTATCCCGCTGTTTATGTATCTATGAGCTCCTTAGTTTGCTTCAGCACTTAAAGGTTCTCTAAACATCTAACACTTTAATACCTGACTTCCCCATTCAGCTGAAGTTTCCTTGGGAACAGGGCCCGTTTTATTCAATGCTCACTAGCCCCAGTGCCGCCGCAGCACCACCTGGCACAGAGCAGGTACAACGACGCCGCCTGACTCCAGCCGACCTCCGCCGCCATCCCCTCGCCAACGCCCCCGAAGCACCGGCCCTTCCCGCCCGCGTTTGGAACAGCAACTTCATTAGCACCCCCGCCCCCTCATTTTTACGGGCTCAGCCCCTCCTCAGTCTCCAGGTCTCACCTTGTATCTCAGCTCCCTCACCCACGCACCCCACTCTGGGAGACACAGCCCGCACGCCCCGCGGGCACCCCGGGGCGCTTCACACACGTGTGACTAAGTCATTACTCGATCACCTGTCTCCCCACGCAAGGCGTCGTCTGAAGGCCCGGGACACTTTCGCTCCTGCCATGGCCCCCGAGTCCTGACGTGGGAGCACAGGAGACCTCTGGGTGGTCAATCCGGCAAAACCCGCCCTTGCCCCCGCTCACTTCCAGCCCCAGACAGAGGCGCGCGTCCTCCCGCCCTCCCGTCGGGCCGGTCACACTCACCTCCTTCCTCCGCGAAGGACCGTTCCCAGGAAATTAGCTTCCGACGCCGCTCGACGCTCACTGATGACGTCTCGCCCTCGCGCCGCTAGACGCCGACTGATGACGTCTCGCCATCGCGCCACAGCCGACGCAAAGCCGCTCTCTGATTGGTCCCTGCCCCTGCGTCCTTCCGGCCCAACTTTGGAACAACAACTTTATTAGCACCAACCGCTGGGCGGAGATGGGGCGAGCAGGCGCGAGGCGAGGGGCCTCCGGCTCACAGCCCGCCGAGGACTGAGCCTCCCGAGCGGACAGTCGCGGTGGTCGCACGGCACGGTGTCGCGACGAGAATAAAGACGGGGGCGGCTCAGACGACTGGAGGTGGCATCAGACGGGAAAGCAAGGCCTTTCAGCCTTGACTCGGGGTGGGGGTGGGGAAGGGAGGAAAGACGGAAGTCGGGAACTACAGCTCCCAGGAGGCTTAGCGGCCGAGTCTCCGGTGCTGGGCCGTGAAGTCTGATGGGCCGGGTAATTTTGCGGACGACTTTAACCTAGAGGCTTGCAAGGTTGGAAGTTCTGAGTCCTGGGGTGCCGGGAGCGGAGGAGAAATGGAGCTGGAGCAGAGAGAGGGGTAAGTGGCTTTGGGGAAAATTGCCAATCCCGAGACACGGGGTACAGAATGTGCAACTATCCGCGGTTTGCTCTGAGGGCTGATGGGGATTGTAGTTCACTCAACGGCTTTGGGTTAGAACTATTAGGGCCTGGGGTCTGTAC